TATTGATTGAAGCTGACCAGTCACCTCCAGCTTGTGCCGAGGTCAAAAAAATGTGAATCTAAAAATCCACTCCCCCATACGCCTTCATGGCGTAGTGCTCAATTCGTTGAGCACAGGGACAACCTTCTCTTTACCTTACCATATTGTATACTGATGAAACGATAGAATGTGCATAGTTGAACTTATTCGGATATATTTCTCAGTCATCAAAACATTTCATTTAGTACGGTCTTTGATAAGACATGATTCTACGTAAGCAAGTAACTTCTAGTGCTGACCGAGTGAGGCAGCTTACACAGCCATTCCACGTGAACTAATCCGAGTCACATAGCGCAGGACTCCATTTAACTGCCAAAAAATGAAGAAGACTGTACCGTTATGCATGACTAGGAAAATCATCCATTCATTTAGAATCGTTTTTTTTCCCCTTGGCACTACAGCCCCAGTGGGCCTAGGCCTACCTTCATGAACTTCTCCGTTCACTTCGGTTTTTCTGAAACTTACACATTCGGTAGGACTCCTCGGGCGGGTGATCAGCTCGTCGCAAGGCCTCTACCTGTACACAAACACAGAAAAACGCACACACACAAACTAAACATCCATGCCCTGAGTAGGATTCGAACCCACGATCCTGGTTTCCAAGCGAGCGAAGACAGTACATGCCTAAGACCGGTCGGCTATCGTGACCGGCTATTTACGTGTAGAATCGTTAGCTACTGAAATGAAATTCCAAGATGAACCACAGAATTAAAATCATGTTAACTTACAAATACTGCTGTAATTAAGTGATCTGAGACAACACAATGCAATCGCGCATGACACTTGAGAAAACCAAGTGTCATTAATTAAGCTGTGTCAGTCTTTGTGACTATTGTCTTAGGTGGCCAACATATATGAATCGCGGGTTCGATTCCCTTTCGGAGCAAGGGTGATGTTCCGCACCCTCTTTGGCAGTTACGTATAAAATTTATAACTTTGTATTAATTCCTAACTAGATTCAGTATTTAGGGTTAGCTCTTTTTAACGGACCCAATAGAGTGGGTGTTTCCAACCCTCTAAGTTGCGGACGGAAACAGAGTTTCCGGAACTTGTATTCTTTAGAATTCCAGAAGAATAACAAAGTCCAAGGACCCAGTAATCCAGAAGACATAAGTTTACAATATAAATCACAGCGTGAGGAAAATTTGACTGCCGTAAGATGCAGCGGCTTCATAAGTGGAACAAGCGCACTGGACATTCTTCTGCAGTACAGCGAAGGGCAAGTTGAAGGCTTTCATTGCGGTATCTACGTCTCAAGAGAACAAGAATGCTGTGCCCATTTAGCACAGACCCACAACACTAGCATAGACACAGTAAATGTATTTACAGAAAAAAAAATAAGAAGAAAATTCGTCTCAAGTTAGAAAGGCGGGTTTTAACAAAAAATCTTACTTTGATCATGAAAATAGTTGGTGGCCGCAAGAGAAATTAAAATGGCTGCACTTAAGAATCGCTGATTCATACCATATAGGGTAGAATGGTAGGATTTGCGATGAATTGAAAAGGATTTAGAAGTAAACGGTCATGGCATAATCGATGCATTATCTCCGAATATGCCTAGAGAAACTGAAGAAAACTACGAAACTCCTCAGTCATGTTAGCCAGTACCTGAGTCGAGATTGAACCTAACATCCCGAAAACGAGTCTAGAGCTTTACCATCTCGCCGACCAGCTCGGTGCTCTGTTACAATATTAACGAGATACTTTGATTAGGACATGAAATAAATAAAAAAATGTATCCGGAATTCAAGCAGTAGGCTGCTCCCAACTTTAAATGAGATAGGTCAGTTTGGATATGACCCTTGGATTTTAGGAGACATCGAAGAACGGAATGCGGAAACGTCGGTTGACTGTAAGCGGACTACACGGCGTTATAACCCAGAAGCGAGAATACTTCACATACCAACTCGTTCATTACTGCAGAAGATATAGGCCTACACAGATGTTCTCGGAAGGGTTGTCTTGGCAAACATTCTACCAATAATGGCGCCAGTGTGGCTGAGAACAGCGGAACGCTGGCGGACTTCTGTAAAAACGTTAAAGAACTTTCGATTTGACAACATGCGGCGATTTTGTTGTGTATATGGGCAATTTGCCGGTCACGGTAGCCGAGCGGTCTAAGGCATGTACTGTCTTCGCTCGCTTGGAAACCGGGATCGTGGGTTCGAATCCCACTCAGGGCATGGATGTTTGTGCACGTTTGTCTACGGGTAGAGGCCTTGCGACGAGCTGATCACCCGTCCAAGGAGTCCTACCGAACGTGTAAGATCTAGAAAACCCGAAGTGAACGGAGAAGTTCATGGAGGTAGGCCTAGGCCCACTGAGGCTGTAGTGCCAAGGAAAAAAAATATGGGCAATTTAAAGATTCTCATGAACGACNGTCATCACTAAATCAGTGAATTGGCTATACCTCGTATGCACTGCCACAGTCTATATGAGTATTCTTGTAATCGAGTTTAATCTTATTCTCCAATTAATATCTCGGTCTTCCAAGCCACAATTTCAAGGAATATTCCCAGTTACAACATTGCGAAAATTTGAGGCCCGCTTGTCATCCTATGCAACGTCTACCGTAGGCTTTCTCCGGTGATAAAGCGGTCTGGTATGAAGCTGACCACTCACCTCGAACTAGTGCCAAGGTCAAGAATAGTGGAGCTATATCCCCACTTCCCTGTGCGTCTTAATTGTGTGGTGCTTAATTAAGCATAGGGACAAATTTATTTCCTTTTACGTTTGTCGTCCCAAGCTATCATCGGAATCTCCTTAATTTAACGGTCGTTGGCATATTAGGCAATCACAAATTACGAAGCTTCCTTTTTATATTGTGGTCTTCTGAGCTGTGATATGATGTAGTCTGGAAGATGGTTACACACGCTTAGGAGAACAACACTGCCTTTATACTCTAGTTTGAAGTGGTTGATAAAATCTTACTACACTGCAAGGTATCATGTCGCACAAGACCACAATCTTCACCCCTGTGAACACTGCAAACCTTATATCCCTACACAAAGCACATTTTCCTCTCTTCCCAACTGAATCCATCTCAAAGGCCTGACCACCAAACTCATATAACATCGCAGCCAGTTTCTGTAATTGTTTCGTGCGCTGTATAGGTCTCGCAGTTAACCTTGACGCCTTGTGATGTCTGTCCGCAGCCGTGTGGTTTGAACAACGGCAGTTCTGAGTGAGGCAACCAAGCTGGAATCTACCGGGGCTTCACATGGGAGTCCTAGCTACCACAGAGCAGCCACCGGAAATACCGATGGCCACAGCGGCAGAAGTGAGCACAAGGGTTCATCTAATTAAAATTGCAACTACAAGACTTCAGAATCATATTCTCTCATGCCGAAGCTGGTCAAATGCTCCCCGCTTCCATTCAATCACAAGATCATCATTGTATTCAGAAAAACTCACACATTAGACCCTATACTGAGCACTATGATTCGAGTTTACATCTTCGCAGCATATTTATTCTTTGAACAATAACGTTATCTGGAGTGTGGCGCCCTGTAGATATTGTGTAAACCGACGTTTCGGAGGAAAGTATCGCCTCCATTTTCAGGGTATGAGAATCCGCGAGCTCACGCTGATTCCTCGCTCGCGGAATTTTATACCCTGAAAATGGAGGCGATACGTTCCTCCGAAACTTCGGTTTACACAGTATATATACGGCGCCACATCCCAGAGGACGGCATTCTCTACAGTCACCGCCATGAAGACCTCAAACAAAAACTAAAGTTAGTGCCAACTTTAGCGGATAGAGGGTGTCGCGTGGTCAGTGCAACGAATCCCCACGGCCGTTAATTTCTAGAACATAGCCGCTACTTTTCCATGCAAGTACCTCCTCAATTATTCTCACGAGGCTGAGTGGACCCCGTTCCAGACCCACTACTTCTCAGAAAATCTGGTAACGCCGGGAATCGATCCCGGACCTCTAGATCTGCAGGCAGGAACTCTGACCACTAGACCACAGAGGCGGTCTGAAGACTTCAAATCTTACATGCTTATTCTTTGATTTTAGAATAATTTTGTGGTTCATATGTGCAATCCTTGTAATACCATCCAAAGAAGTATGTACAGGTTGATGGCATTAAAAGAATGATGTATTTCTTCTTCTTCTTTGACGGATTAGGCCTCTTGGTCTGTTCTGATTCAGAATTAATTATGAAACTATGGTAGGACTGTATGGGATTTGAGGTTCTCATAGCGACAGTTATGAAGAGCTTTTGAAGACAGAGGTATGTTTCTCCGAATCGACAATTGACTTTCAACTGACATCATTATATCCCAGAAGAAAGAACTGTTTATGGTAGGACTCCATGAACATAAAAGAAAACAGCCCTTCGCAAGGCCGTTACATACACAGGACGAAACAAGCACAGAAATTATGCAGACATGAAACCATGTTTCGAATGGCGTTCGATCTTAAATCCTAGTGTTCGAGCGGGCGAAGGCAACTGTGATCGGCAGCACGTATCTGTAAATTAAATTTTAATATTTTCGTCCCAATTTCACTTATGTCCCCCAAATGTCAGAAGAGATGTGTTTAAGATTTAACTGGCTGTGAATATGAAGAGACCTATTTGTGTAGGCGTGCAGAGAAACTAGGCATGACCTTTCCCTAGCGCTACTCCAATATTTAGTGACGGACTGTGAAACCCTGCGAGAAACCCACGCCATTAACGCCAGCCTGATATTGTATCTGACATCGTCTTGCAATTAAGCACACCATGCTCTATCCATTCGCTTCAACACTTTTGACTGATGAGAAGAAGTTGAGTCTTTGGACATCTTCTATCCCTTTCTCTCCCTTATCATTGTCCAAGAGTCATCAGTTTACTGCATGTTACCATACAAACATGTATACATTCTATTCAGTCAGATCGTACAAAATGAATACCCTTCATAATTTTGGAACAATGTCCTTTTTCCATTATACATCAAATATTTTGTACTTCTTTTGGCTTATTTTGGACTTCATCCATCGTCTGGTATGTAAAAGAAAAAAGANCAAATTCTCTTCCAATTCATTTAATTTGTATTCACTCACTCACTCATGGAGCTGAGCCCTTCTTGAAAAGCCGCCAATTCTGCAGCTACTCAAGAATTTCCCAGCACTTTATGGAACTCAAGGCCCATTACTGTTTTCACAAGAGCCCTCCACCGGTCCCTATCTTGAACCAGATCAATCCAATCCATACCATTCCATTCTATCTCTCTAAGATCCATTTTAATATTGTCCACCCATCTACATCTTGGTCTTTACAGTGGTCTCTTTCCTTCTGGCTTTCCCACCAATATCTTATATGCATTCCCTTTCTCTCCCTCTACATGCCCTGCCCATCTCATCCTCCTTGACTTGATAATTCTAATTATACTTGGAGAAGAGTACAAGTTATGAAGCTCCTCATTATGCACTGTCACTACATCCCTCTACGGTCCAAATATTCTCCTCAACACCCTGTTCTCAAATAACTTCACTATATGTTTCTGCCTTAAAGTCAAGAGACCAAGTTTCACACCCACACAGAAACATAGACAAAATTATAGTTTTGTGTATTCTGATTTGTATGGTTTTAGAAAGCAGATGAGAAGATAAAAAGTTGATTTATATTATCTATTGGAAATATAATGTTTTTAATATTATTGTTGGTCAACAGGGTGTTACTGTCCTACTCTCCTATTCTCACTCCCTTGGAGTGGGTCCAGACGTATTAATGGAGGGACAAACTAACAAACAACCAGAAGTTATAGACTCGATTGCTTACAAAATATGAGGACTAAAACAGTAAAGCCATGAAAAAGCTGGAAACAACATAAAGACATGGATGCATTAAGAGATTTGTAACGCAAATTAGATTGACTTACCCTGAGAAGTAAGTGAGTGCTGATGGAATGTCACGAGGCAATAAATCTCACTCATACAAAGTGAAGGTACACAGTTCCACATTTGACAACTAGATTATTTTTTACCATTACGAACAAACACCACTTGACGTGGAAGCAAACTCACATGCCTAAGGGCTAATATCATGTTATGCCAAGCACAAGTAGACACACATACACACACACACGCAGGCAGTTGCAAACACAATAACTCACGTCGTACATAACCTCTAAACCTGACACCACGACCAAACAAACCCGCGGGAACAGTTACTGCACGATGAGGACGCTGTTAATATCTTTTAATTCGACAGTAGCCAGTAGATGGCAGCGCGGATGAACTAGTGGCGCTGTTCACGTGAATCGTGGCCTGCGAGAAAATAAGCATTAACAAGGATAGACGGTAAAAATTTCCCTGTGTTCAACGAATTAACCACTACGCATTAAAAGCTGATAGGAAAGTGGGTGTACATATCCACATTTTCTTGACCTCGGCACTAGCTGGAGGTGAGTGGTCAACTTCACGCCTCGGCCGCTTTACCCCCGGGAGAGAGCCTTCGGTACCCACTGGATAGGAGGTTGGGTGGACCCCAGAGCAGGTCTGGACAACGTGGAGGATACAATTCTTGACCTTACCGAGACTCGAACTCCGACCCCTCAGTCGTCCAGCCCATAGCCCGTCGCCGTACTAACTACGCTACCCTGGCTCCTAAGAAGCATTAGTAGTATAATTTTAATTTTAATAAATTATCTCAGTTTAATTTTTTCCACTTAACACAATGTAAGCGAGTGTGCAAATTTGTGAGAAAATTTATATAGTTATGAATATGTCATTTTTAAACTTAAAACACAGATAGAATAGAGGTAAGAATTACGCTCTTGCAACCAGTCTTATAATGTGTTTCTTTTTTTATTATTTATCAGTCACTCTTATTAGATGAGTTTTCTTTCAGTTTTCCTTCTTATTCCTTGTTTATTTCTTTCTGATTCCTGAATTTATTTCTTTTATTCACAGCAGTTTTTCTGTAAAGCTACTCTGGCCAACAGTCACACAGGTCGCTGTCTACCAAGACACATAAAATATTGTCACGCGTAGGGTGGTACGCGTGACAAGAATGACGGATTCTAGTTCGGATGATTGGATTTACTGGCACCTTGGTTACAACCTCTCTTAATTACAGTCATTATAGGCAATACAGCACTATCGCTGATTTACACATTTTACATTTCACCGTTGCACAAGCATTTGGGTTCTCCGTCTTCACTAGTCGTCTCCTGGCAACGGGTCTCAATGTAGAAACTAGCAATTCAAAACAGTATGAAGTCGTCTTACTATTTCTTGTTCAACCACCAGTAACCTGCTCACGCTAATTCCTCGCTCGTGGATTTTTCTACCTTGAAAATTGGGACGATAATTTCCTCCGAAACGTAGGTTCACACAAGATCTACACGACGCCACATCCCAGAAGACGGCATTCTTCATAATCACCGCCGTGAAAACCTCAAATCTTACAAAGATATTGGTAGTGTGTAATAAAAACGCCGATACAATATGCCCTAAGAATGCCATCATATCCAATTTCGTACATTCCTGTTACCACAGTTAATTATGCGCTAGACTTCCAGGAAACTCTTTCTGGTATATTAACTTGTGACTTGTTTGTTTTCTCGACAGGAATTTTTCCGCAGAAGCTGATGCTAAACTTCAGTACAACGGAATTCCCGGAGCACGCTGAGACTGGACCCCGTTCCCGGTCACCTGTAGTGGCTCCCACACTTCCAACTCCGCCTTCTGTTTCACCGCCCCCGTTGGGGGCGGGGGGATCATCTCCCATTATCGTTCGAGCTGAAGAAGCCCTAATAGTTCTGCTGGTACTGGTTCTGTGGATAGCCGCCATCGCACTGTTTTTTAACCGATGGGGGAAAATCCGTATGTTGGAACCGTATCAGCCCAAGTTCCAGCAACAGCACAGATCCAGCTGCCCCATGGTTGATATGAACGGCCCCATCGGCCTGCAGGTGACTGTCACTTACGGCTGCCTCGCTGGGCCAATCAAGGGACGAGACAAAGTACAGACGGGGACAATGTCCTTCAAAATTGGTATTCTGATATTCTAAGGAGGGAGTGTGTGGATACTTCTCACGCAGCGACATATACTCCAATCAGCTTCTCTCAGCTTCATTATATTCGTACTATCCGCTTTCTCTCTCATCTTTCAGAACTGTTTCTTGTTAAAATATCGTTTAATTTTAGTAAGACGTGATGTGTCTTCAGAATGGAAGACCAAGTACCGAAGCATAAGATTTTTTTTTCTCATTTCTTTGGGGTGGGGTAAGACTGAGTCCACTTAGTACGTTGGCCACTAATTGGCCTATTGTACCAGCCACGGATGATAGATGATGATGAATGTGGAGTAATCGGTGGAATGAGAATTGGTAGGGGAAACAGAAGTATTCGGAGAAAACTTGCCCCAGTACTACTTTGTCCACCGCAAATCCCACATGAATTGACCTTGGCTCGAACTCGGGCCGCTGCGGTGGGAAGCCGGCGACTTAACGCCTGAGATATGGCACGGCTTTAACTAGAATTTCACTGGTTTCAATAATTTCGTGTGAACAGACAGAGAATGGTAGGCATGCGCACGGCTCTGTCAAGTCTCAAGAACGCACAGCTGATTTTCGGCACTGGAATGCATGACGATTAAGTTCAAGTGAAGATTTTGCGACAACCCTCTATGATATCTCGGTTTCTCTTGGTACGATAAACATTCACTCAGCCGCCGCTATTCTTTAATTTTGCTCTAGTTCACTGACGGCCACAATATTTTATTTAAAACAGTAATGTCATTCAGGCCAACACTCAGGAAGTCTGTTGCTAAAATAATCGCTCCTAACATCCATAGTCCATGATCAAAGTGCCAGGTTAGGTTGAGTGATGTTAGGTTGCTTTCAGATTAATTGCCTTAACATAAGTAGTCGTCAACATTCCCACTCCTAGAGGCCGGATATGTCTCAAAATTTTGTAGCTATAGACTACGTTCATGCGAGGTGATTCTAAATTATTGTCGGGGTTTCTGTGGCCTATATTTTTCAACCCGGAAACAACGAAATAAATTTTGAGATATGACGTCATATTTCCTCCCATATATCAATGCGGCGAGTACAGCGTTGTCAAATAAAACTTTTTCAATTAAAATTCCATATTCCATAAGCAGTTATATTCTGTTGCTTTCGATTAGAAATTTATAGGCCATGGAAACCCCGACAATAATTTAGAATCACATTACACTTCTTGTGTACCCTTACACTTATTGTTAAATGGTAACCAGTAAGAACATGTAAGTCAGTTTAAATATGTAGGCGATTTGGTAATTCCTCCATTGGTGGGACACACTTGAAGAAAAATGTCATATATTGTGTCAGTAAAACATGTTCAGTGGTGACAGAAACAAACGAACAGCAGACGCGGCCAGGCTCAGAACTTCACTAAACTTACACACATTCAAGCAATAAGCGAGAAAGTTAAGATCGAGAAAATAAATGAACAGATTACCATAGGACCCTTCTAAGGATGTGACTGATTTAAGTAGCGTTAATTTATTCAAACACTTGCACAGAACGAGAGCACGAAACATCACACTATAATGGAAAGTGATGTCAAACACAACGGGCACAAGATGCCAACTTTGTTCTGAATATTTCTAGATGGACGATCCAAATGGCGGTAGACAATCAGATCCTTTGCGCCATGCTGAATGTATAACATTCGATGAAACGAAGCCTTTCTTAGATCACACGAAAAGCAGAAGTACATGTCATGGCGGTAGATGGCAGGAAGGAAGCCCAGGCGGTGAGTAGGCCCATGTCAGTGTGAAGCTGAAGGCATGTTCCGTGGACACGGCGCTTTCCATTGTTTCGCTGCACAACGCCTGGCCGAGTCCAATTTATATGCACACTCACTAAGAATTTCACGCAAATGCATTGGCACTGTTAACTGTATGCCACATGTTAGTTCGAGCCTTGCTTATTTAGGAATATCTGGACATCATCCAAAAAGACTCTCACTTTATGAGTATAGTTAAAATATTCTTTTATTTTTGATGTTTTATATAAAACGACGTTCATAATTGCGTGTTACAAGAATGTCCGATGGTCTACTGATTGCGTAGTATGTGTTTTGTGCGAAAATTTATATTTTGATTAATTTACTAGATATTAATTAAACTTTATATAAGATAATTCTAATACACAACTATTAATATTTGTGCTTCACATTTACTTGAATTAATTTTATTTACCGCTTTATTTAAGGGCCTTATCTATTATTTTTGGGGTTCTCTCTAAGATTTCAAAGAAAAGTGACAAAGACATATCTGTTATATCAATATCAGCATTTATAAATTTAGGTCAATTTAATCCATTTTAAAGAATTTTTTTTTCCGCATAGTGGGGGGGGGTGTCCAGCTGGGTCCACTCGGCATGTCGGCCAATGTTTGACATATTGTACTTGTCCCAGGTGATTATGATGATAGAGAATTTGGCGGAATTAAGATTAGTAGGGAAAACCGAAGTACTTGGAGAAAACCTGCCCCAGCGCCACTTTGTCCACCACAAATTCCACTTGAACAGACCCGGGTTCGAACTCCGGCCGCCGCGGTGGGAAGCCGGTGACGCAGCCTAAAGAAAAAATTACTACATAGTATAACGAAACTTAACTGAGAGAAGCGTTTTCGCTTGTTGCAGACTTGAATGACATTGCTATCTTTAACTGGTATGTGTCGCTTCCATATGATCCAGGTTAATTTCTTTTATAACATGTATTTCTCAAACACTTCGACGTATCATTTCGCGTATCTTGCTGAGTACTGTCGTGAACGAGAAAAAAATCTTGAATATAAGTTGCTGGGGTAAGAAATATTTTCATAAAACTTACCGACTTTCAGAAAATTGCCAAAATAATAATAATAATAATAATAATATGGGTAACGCTGTCCCTGTGATTAATTAATTAAGCACTTCGCTATTAAGACGTATAGAGGAGTGGATGTTTAGACCCACGTTTTCTTTACCTCGGCAATAGTTTGAGGTGAGTGATCAGCTTCACGCCTCGGCCGCTTTATCCTCTGAGAAAGAGCCCCAGTACTCATTGGTTAGGAGGCTAGGTGGGCCCCAGAGCCGGTCTTGACGATATGAAGAGGAGAAAATTCCTGNCCTTGATCGTCCAGCAGGTTGCCAGTTGCTATATCAACTGCGCTATCCCGGGTCTTATAATAATACTAATAATAATAATAATAATAATAATATACGCCATCGAGAGCGTTGTCCAATCTCTTGCAATCGCTTCATCATCTAGCTGGTGTACATATCCTCTATATCAGGCATGTCCAACTTCAAACAGGATGTGATGGATTTTTTAGTGTAAAAACTGCCAGTGATCTACCACCCCCCTCCTATCGCCGTACCTCGCTTTAAGCAAAAATATTGGTAAAAATTACATGTCACATAATGTCACATTGAAAGTACAGACTACTTTAACACGTATTTTCCATTCAAAATCTGAATATATTACAAGTGAATTTACATGCTTTTCACGTATAATTTCCTTATAGGCCTATGGGATCGACCAAAAATCGTCCCGCAACCGACCGGTCGATCGCGATCGACGCGTTGGACATGCCTGCTCTGTATTAACAGATCAGCAAAGGACGGAGTGACACCGTAGGGAAACGAAAAGCATGTTCACATTGCACTTCCAGACCACATCAGGCCGGTCCTCTAGTTCTCGGTGAAAGCTGCTCACGCCTGATTCCGTGTAAAGTTGAGCTTTGCTTTGTCTGAAGCACTTTATAAAATTAGTTGCTTGTTAAAAAACGAAGAAGTTGCGTTTTCTAGCTTAGGTTTCCTCAGATTCTATTGTTATTAAATATATTATCGAAAGCCGCCGTCTTTCCCCCGGATTATTTCATAAAATAAATTGTAGTGAAGTAATAAAATTGCTTACATATTAAAAACATAAAAAAGGTAAATCTATCCCTGTAACAGGCCGTGAAGACCCATAGGGTTGTGAGACGTCAAGGCTCCCACATTTTCTAGACAATCGTTTCACAGATGGCGATAAGTTTGTCAGCCTTACTCACCGGCCGTCCTTTACCCACCAGGAAGATACCTGGTACTCATTTCTGTTAGAGGCTGAGTCGACCCCAGGGCCATAGCGCCTCTGGAAGGATTAGGTTAATTGAAAAATACAATGACTTCATCGGGACTCCAATCCGTGACCTTCCGGCTTGTAGCATAATGCCTCAACCAACCACGCTACCGCTACGTCATTCTTACTAATACATATTTTTGTTTACCAAACATGGTGCAAAAATCTTTCCATTGATGAGTGACAGTTTCGTACCGAAAAATATGCGGCATTCGCTTAACTTCTTCTCAAGTTACACTCTACTGAAATTATTAAATTTCATATTTATTGTGGAATCCTATTAATACTGTCACGTGACAAATAACCGCAGGCCGTCAAGGATGTAGCGAATATTTACCGTGCTCCGCTTCTACACTCACACTTTACAACTACTATCACTTGCAGGATCACAATTACTGCTTCCACTATATCGCGGCGAATACTAGGCTTCAACTGCCTTCGATAGCGACTCTCTTATAAATAAGACTGACTCGTTACCGCGGAAGCGCATTATCCCGCTGTTTCGATAACTCGTTGCCACGGTTCTTGCTAGGCAACGGTCTGTTGATATTCAACTTGTCGCTGTGGGAACTCGACAATTTCCATTGTAGCCGTTGCTCAGCGGTGGACGACATATAACACGTTACATTATGTTCTCGTTACCTTATATTCTAGTACTGACAGCTCTAATGTCGTTTAATCGTTGTTACATTAAACGGTTGTCAGAACATGAAATAGCTTTTCATATACACGTATGTCACTTTTGCATTATAAACCGATTTGGGTCGCCTGCCAGCAACGCAGTCACGAGAGAAGGAGAAAGGGGCAATACTGTAAGGATACAAGTGTGTGCACAGGACACGTCACTCTGCACTGCCTCTTGCTGAGGGTACTAGTCGCCCTACCCACGGCACACGCGTTCCGTTCGCACTATTGCCCGCGATTCTGCACGGCTTCTCTGCTACTCCCCACATTGGCCTCTCGCTTTTACGTAACTATTATGCACAGTATTATAGACATAAAGATTCATCTCAGTAATGCTAAAATGAATAATTGGTTATGCTACAAGAATCCATATTTGACCTGAATATTAAATATTCACGAAAATATATATATTTCAGGTCCTCACAGCGGTCATTGTGAAGAGTCCTACCTCCTAGGATATAACGCCGTGTAGTCCGTTAAAAGTCAACCCTAAGTTTCGGAGTGGCATGTCTCATTAATAATCAATGTCGAAGTAAGGGATCGGCATCAGTTCTGAAGATGCAGCTCTTGTGCACGTATATCCGTCTTAAATTCAACTTATTATATAATTACCCTTCTTCTCGCTACATGTTTCGGCAGGATACGGTCATCATCAGGTGTTGTCTATCTTGCTAATATTCTTGCCCTTTACGTATGTCACATTTACGCATCGCGCGTGAAAGCGATATTTCCTAAATTAAAATAAATTAATCTTGAAATAAAATTACTTTACATCTTAATGTTGTACATTGTGTCGTCCATTTATTTAAGAGATATTTGGTTGAGTGTTTCTCGTTTTGGACTTATTCGCGCAGCGCTCCCCTTGCGGCGTCGGTATTATGGGTATTATTTGTACGGTTAAGGATGTCGATGTAGTGTTATTATCGGTGTTGTTATGTATGCACCCTTGCCTGTAGGGTTTTCCATACTGCTAGACTACTTATGTTAAGTGGTCCTTGTGTGTAGATATTATACGGCCGAAACATGCAGTGAGGAAGAAAGGTGACTAGACAATAAATGTTTACAAAATACATTGTAACGTGCTGAAGAACGCATTATGCAAAAAAAAATCGTGGTCTGTAGTCCACAAGCGAACTATACCGACCGAGCGAACGCCGCTTGTCGGCAAAGTTTAGCGGATAGACAGGTTGTCGCGTGGTCAGGGCAACGGATCCCCACAGCCGTTAATCTCGGTTTTCTTGACCGGAGCGGCTACTTTCCATTCAATTAGCTTCTCAATTATCCTCATGAGGCTGAGTGGACCCCGTTTCAGACCCAGTACTTCTCAGAAAATCTGTAGCGCCGGGAATCGAACCCGGCACCTCTGGATCTGTAGCCAGGAACTCTGACCACTAGACCACAGAGGCGGTCTATATAAATGTAACAGGATGCTTAAATAAAATATTCCGAAGACGCAGGCTACATATTCCTCCGAAACGTCAGTCCACTTTTGATGGACTACGCGGCATTATATCCCAGGAGAAAGGACTCTTTGAATTTTATTTCATCTGAATTCAGAATCTATTTGTGTTCGAATCTACTGTCTCGTCAATAGTGGTTCAAATATGGCCAAATGTGGCCAAGAAATGGCGTATTGCCGATTATATTTATCAAAGTTTAAAAACCGATAACTTATATGTGTGTGTTAATCACAGGGACTTATTCAACAAGACTCCTCAACTACTCTTGTATGCGGACTTGCGTGGTTCACGCTTACCATGCTAGCAAGCCTAATCGAGAAAATCAGTACTGACGAAAGCAACGTCTGCACGTATTTGGGCAGAATGAGGATCAACACTTGGGACCGTTCGTCTGGTAATTTGGAACATCGTTAATTCAGGCTCAAAACGGAACTGCAGTAATTATACATAACACAAAGCATATATAGTGTGTAGGCCTGTATTGCATTCGTATTTGAGGTTCTTACGACGATGAGTGTTGAGTTCATGTGACGCCGTATAGTTTTGTGCAATGTTATTATTTGACAGACACACAGACCTACATACCTACCAAACTATATGGTTTCAAGTCACACAAGAAAGTGATTTAAGTGCATAAAACATGTAAGATTTGAGGTTGTCACGGCGGTGACTATGAAGAATTTTATCTTCTGGAATGTGGCGCCGTGCAGATACTCTGCAAACCAACGTTTCGGAGGAACGAATCACCTCCATCTTCAGGGTATAAAAATCCGCGAGCGAGGAAACAGCGTGAGCAGTTTACACAGTATCTACACGGCGCCACATCCAAGAAGACGGAATTCTGCATAAGAGATGTTTAATCTAAAGCTCTGGTGTAAACATGTGCTGTATTATTACAAGAGAATGCAGTAACAGCTGCCTCATTCTGTAAATACATAATCTTAATTAAAATGTCCAGTTGAGTTTACTGCACTATCCTTTCTATGGCTAGAATCTATTTTCTTAAATAGAACAGCCGAATAAGCCAGTCAAACAACTGTAAAAACAGCCACTATACTAATCTGTAGATTAAACTTGTTACATACTCCTAGTGGGATTTCTCGACTAAATAATTAGTATGTATGAGGAAACAAATGTTCTATTTTCAGTCTAAGGGGTACCCAAGGGGCATACATGTACATAAAATTAATATAGCCAAACGAAGCGTTGACCAGATTCTCAACTTACCCATCCAGGATCAAGAACACCCAAAACGTTTCAACCCGAAAGAAATAAGGGAAGAAATCTACAGGCTAAATACAAAAAAGACGCCAGGAGTTGATCTCATCACAGCCACACTACTAAAGGAACTCCCAAAAAAGGGAATATTCAAAATCATGTACATATTCAACTCCATCTTAAGGAATGGCTACTGGCCCAAACCATTAAAAATCGCACAAATAATAATGATTCCAAAGCCTGGGAAAAATCACACTGACGTAACAAGCTACCGTCCAATTAGCTTGTTACCCATAATATCGAAACTTCTTGAAAAGCTTATCCTCAATAGAATTAATCACGACGCCAATCCAAATGACTGGATCCCTAATCACCAATTTGGCTTTCGACAGGCACACTCCACAGTACAACAATGCCACCGAATAGCTAATATAATCAACCAAGCTATGGAAAACAAACAATACTGCACTGCTGCCTTCCTCGACGTAAGTCAGGCATTTGACAAAGTTTGGCATCCAGGCCTGCTTTACAAAATCAGAAGAATTCTATCGGCCAAATATTTCGCAACACTGCAGTCGTACCTAACAGACAGAGAATTCAAAATAAAAATCAACGCTGAAGTATCCAACCGAAGAAACATACAATCAGGAGTTCCTCAGGGCAGTATCTTGGGTCCACTCCTCTACGTGCTATACACCGAAGATATACCGACCACCGAATTAACAAAAATAGGTACGTTCGCAGACGACACAGCAATTTTCGCTACGTCAGAAGACCCGGTAATTGCTTCATCTAATTTACAAGAACATCTGAATCTAATGGAGAAATGGCTACACCGATGGAAAATCAAAGTGAATGAAAGCAAATCGGCGCATGTGACTTTTACTCTCAGGAAAGGAAACTGCCCCTCAGTACATCTAAATCATGTTAACATTCAACAACAGGATGTAGTAAAATACTTAGGACTACACCTGGACTCAACATTAAACTGGAAACACCATATAGCGAAGAAGAGAAAACAAATCGAAATTAAGTTCAAGGAAATAAATTGGCTAATAGGTCGGAAATCTCACCTAACAATAGATAATAAACTACTGATCTACAAAACAATAATTAAACCCATATGGACATATGGCATTGAGCTCTGGGGATGCGCCAGCAAATCCAACATAACAATCATCCAGCGAAGTCAATCCAAAATACCTTAGAGCCATAGTTGACGCACCTTGGTACGTGTCAAACCAAACTCTTCACACCGACCTCAAGATCCCATATGTAAGAACCGTAATCACAGACAGAATCCAAAAACATTAGCAGAAACTGGAATCTCACCCCAACAACGCAATAGAAGCTCTCCTTCAACCTACAGAATACAGAAGACTAAGACGAACTTGGCCAAACGATCTCCAGGAAAACTGAGGTGTAATCGATGGATTACATGGATTGTACATGACAGCAAATTAGCTCATAGAATGCAAATTCAGATTGCTAATAAATGATTTAAAAAAAAAAGCCAAACGAAGAGCCAGGATAGGGTATTCGGTACAGCGACTGGCTACGGGCTGGACGACAGAGGGGTTGGAGTTCGAGTCCTGGTAAGGTCAAAAGTTTTCTGTTCTCCACGTCGTCCAGACCGGCTATGGGGCTCACCAAGACTACTATCAAATGAGTACTGGGGCCATTTTCTGTGGGGTAAAGTGGCAGGGGCATGATGCTGCTCACTCAACTCTTAACTAGTGCCGAGATCAAGCAAACGTGGATCTCTTCATCCACTCACCCATACGCCTTCATGACCTAGTTTTTAATTAGTTAAGCACAAGTAAAATTTGCCTTCTTTTATCTATAGTAAAACGAAAGTTTGCTGAGATATAACGCCGCGTAGCCCGGCGAGACTCAACCGACGTTTCGAGAGGAACATGCCGTCTTACATTCAAGGTTCAAGAGTAGGTCAAACAAAATACAATCATGAAGTAGGCAGCAAGTATTTCGCCGGGCTACAGAGCGATATATCGCAGAAGATAGAAAACTCTTCGATTGTTTCTTCATTTTATTATGGAAATTGTGCACAAACAGGAATAGCTATCAAGAGAAAAGTGTATATTATTGCGTTGTGCTTTCATATTTTCCGATACACAACACGGCCTATCTAACGGGCACAAATGCGTTTAGAGGCCAAGTAATGCCACAATAGGTTTGTTTATGCTGTAGCGCCGTGAGTTTTATAGAACACAAACGTAATACTCGCGGACTAGGAGGAACTTTTATGTATTATGAAATAAAACTACACTAGGAATATAAAAGATTAACAGCCGATAAGGCTCAGCTCTAGACACTCAGAGGAGTGTCGAGGGGAGTCGCTAGTACAGGAAAGTAGGTCATATAAATTCACGAGCATAAAAGTATTACATATCTGCATGGCCATGTTAGGTGGGCCCCATGTCACCACGGCATGGCGCGTCCTCGGGTTGCGGATGGAGGAGACGGCCTCCAGATATGGAGGGTACCTGCGCATATATCGAATAAGCAGTCTCGGACATTCGACAAGGGGTGGCCCCCCAGGTGGGGGGTGGGCGTGAGGCTAACAATTCCTCATTATAAAAATAAGCTTGTTACGAAATGCCACAAAGGACCTCGGTCCTGGACGGATTCCTAAGCTAAGGAGAATGAACATGAGGTTTGGAACATGGAATGGATCTCAGAAGGATAAGATGGTGTGGTGTGGACTGGATAGGATAGGGACTAGTGGAGGGCTCTTGTGAACACGGTAATGAACCTTCGAGTTGCAAAAAATGCTGGGAAGTTCTTGAGTAGCTGTACAATTGACGGCTTCTCAAGAAGGGCTCAGCTCCATGAAGTTAGTTAACATTGTTATATAGCTTCATGTAATTAGCAATATAAATATCGGAAAATGAAATTATTGATTGCTTTTGTTAAGGCAGTGGTCATGATTTTACATTCTTACTACTTCAGGAGTTGTTCTGGAATATGACCATGGCTCTGCTAGCAGTCTCATACCTAACTGGAAATACGTCCGTTAAATATTCGATAAACAAGGAATAAATAGCAACATGGAAACACGAAAATTTAATTAAAATTTATGAAAAACGTTCTCAGTAAAACGCAAGACTAGCCTAAGTCGAATTAATTTTTTTCTTATTTCTCTCCTTTACTGACAATCAGACTGTACAATCTATATGTCAATGTGCTGACTGGTGTAAAAGGAATTAATTTAAGCACTGATATATTCGGATTGTCGAATCCTTCGGATTACTGAATTTAGAATAAAATGTCGGATTTTTTTCAGTAAAATTATCTATCCAAAAGATGTTTGAGTAAGTTTTACGCATAAACAAATGAAAATATTTTTTCGGAATACACAGACGTTCGCCGACATGTATCTACTGCTACGTGTGATATCACATTTCATTAAGAATTAATTTTTGATGCATGAAATTGAAATAATTAGATTAAATTGAAAATTTTGGTGTTGCTTACTGTCCTCTCCCTCTCCCTCTCCCCCCCCCCCNAATTTGTGATGTTGGTTCTGTAACTCAGTTCTCATTATCGAGTTTCCACTGTATTCCCTACGCCTTATTGTATTGAGTCGTACAAAGAACAGCCGAGAAGCGGAATACGCGTTACCTATCGGCCTGATCTGACGGAGGCACCGCCCGACTCCTCTACTCGAAACTACCGTAGCAAAAGAAAAGAAAATAAAAACCTGACCTTGTTATGTTAGGAAAAAAATGTTTATTCTGCTACAATACATGAAAATTACCACGCATAAATTTCTTTTTTTAGCATCGCACCTTTTCCAAATTCAACGTGAACTGCATCGGCGAGCCGGTTCATTCCTTGCACAGACCCCGCCAAAACTCTGTCTTCGTCGGAAGCTCAACGACTATGGTAACCCTGCCTATGAACCCTCCACGGAAGACCAAGTCAGCAATGGATATACAGACATTGGTGCTGACAGAGTGTGGACCAGGGCACTCTGGCTCCACGCTGCCTACAACAACGGTCAGGACCTCTGAGAGCCGTCGACCATCTTGCAGCAGACTGGAAGCAATCCACGTCACCAACGTATGAAAGAAATGAAGACAGTGTCCTTAGTAAAAATTTCTAACGTCTGGATTTATCACTTTCCTACGAAGTACCTACATTTTTGCTAGAATTTTCCATTATTCAACGTTTAAAATCTCAGTTTCGTCCTTCGACATCACTCAAAAAAAAATTTGTGTGGAGGACTTGTTGCTGTCGTACCTGAAACTCTAGTAGATTCTAAAGGGTTCTGACGATGGTGGATGACACACATAATTACTGGGTTTTAGGACTTTTTGCAACGTCCTGAATTGTAGGTAATAGAAGGCAAGACGTTTCGGAAACTGGATCTGTTTCCGACGTCTCGTGTCTTCTATTACCTAGAATTCCGAACGATGGAAAAAGTCCAAAAATCCAGTAATTCTGTCTGAAACTCTAGACTGGATACTTCTCAAACAAAGGAAACGTAGACGGTTAAACAACGGGTAATATCCATGTACAATTTCAGCAGTTTTACAGTCTGAATTTATCAAACGTTACCAAATACGAGTATCTTCAAATATCAAACACTGATATTTATTTGTATAAATCAATGAAAAAGCATGTTGCCTATATGCTTTGGTTTCTAACGGTGTTCTCTATAGAGATGATTATATTGCATTGCCTCTGCGGGTCCTTTGAAACAATTGCTGACTCAGGGTCTGCCTACTTGCAATGCATGGATATGTACTAATGCAGTGCTCCTGACGGTTAATTTCATGTTTGCACAAAAGGTTATATTCCGAAAAGCTATATGCACTATACGAGTATAGACGGAAGAGCTCTAGACATCGCAATGTGGTGCTGAAAAAGGAGAGGTTGGATAAATCTATATATATGTACTATAATGTATAAAGAGATTTCGTTAGATTAGAAAAGAAATATTGCGTAATTTCGTAAATATGGCCATCTGAAAATTCTTATTAATTATTTCGTCGATCTCTTAAGCGTATTATAACTATTGAAAAGTTTATAAAATAACAAAATCTATAACAAATTTCAAATATTTTCAATTATATTGTGAAGTGTTTTAATGTTTCAATACATTTCTGTAGATTAATGAAAATACTAAGCATCAAGTTGCTAAGTTTTGTAAGCCAGTGGTTCTCAACCTTTTTCAGACGCGGCCCGGTAATTTTTTTTTATAAGACGAGAGCCCGGTACAATTGATGCGAGGGTCCGGTACCAGGCCGCGGCCCGGCGGTTAAGAAACATTGTTGCCAGCAACTATTATGGTATTAGTCATTATTTGTAAATTAGCGGGCCAGTTCCTATATTGCTACACCCCATGTTGGTCTCTTCTTCCGCAGCCACATATGGAAATTATAAAAGAAATGACCATATCTTCTTGTAATAAAATTCAATTTTAGAGCAAATTAAAAACACACGTGACGAATGTAGATCACTATTCTGGGTGACGGCACTTCATATTGCTCTAATGTAGACGTTTCGGACATCCTTACTGTCTCCATATTCAAACGGAAATGACTATCAATGGCCACTGCCGACACTTACGAGTACAATACAGTTCCATAGGCTGACAGTATCACCAAGGACCGTTCGTAGTCATTTCAGTGAGGATCTCCTAAATGCCATCATCCAGAAGTAGGATCCACATTACTACTGATTCCTGATGAAATTCTGATATTATCTACACGACCTTCAAAGTTTAGCGGGTATGAAAGCCCATATCAACTTCCAACACATGCCAAACTGAACGTGGGTCAGAAGAAGCAGACAACTTCTATTATATTATAGAACCATCGTAATTGTGTCTGTGAATGCTATTCATATGATACTCCTCTAGAGCGTTTCTAGACGTGTCTATTATAATTATCTTTAAATTACATACTCTATATGAAATGGGTTGGTCATCCTATGATTAACATAATTATCAGGCGACAGAGATTCTTGCTTTTGACTTCCAAAATATTGTATCACGAATTATGTTGCTTGTACACAGATGCTAATGCTCTGCTCGAATGAGACGTCGATAAATTCACTGTACGTGGAATTAATGCGTAACGGTCTGGGGGTAAAGTGCCTGGCTACAGATCCACATGTCCCGGGTTCGATTCCCGGCGATACCAGATTTTCTGAGAAGTAATGAGTCTGAAACGGTGTCCACTCAGCCTAGTGAGAATAATTGAGGAGCTATTTCAAGGAAATAGCGGATTCGTAGCGCTGGCCACGTGACACCCTCTACCCACTAAAGTTGACACTAACTTCGCCGACAAGCGGCGGTCGCCCGGTCGGCATAGTTCGCTTGCGGACTCAAGCCACGGAGTTTTATTTTATATTACAGAAATTAGATGTACGGCAAGCCGGTCACGGTAGCCGAGCTGTGTAAGGCAAGTACTGTCTTCGCTCGCTAGGAAGCAGGGATCGTGGGTACGAATCCCATATAAAGCATGGATGTTTGGCACATGTGTGTGTTCATTCTATGTTTGTGTTTAGGTAGAGACCTTGCGGCGAGCTGATCACTCGTCCAAGGAGTCCTACCGTCTGTAAAATGATCATGAAACTGGAAATCAGATGCCTAAGGGAGCTGTAGAGCCAGTAAAAAAAATGTGCAGCAATGTGATAAGATTACTGTATATCACTAAGAATACGATTCGGTTCCTTTATTGATAATCAGACTTCAGCTGCAAGAGTTTCTCCCCCCCCCCCGTGTCTTGGGGATCTTGTTCTTAACGCACAATATGCCGCCCAGCCAAGACTACAAGGAAAAGTTCGCTAATGACTGAACGGTGGAAGAGAACAGACAGGAGATGAGAAGGGTCCAATGTGTGTCCACTCCAAAGACTGTTTGGAAGTGGTTATGCTCGTTTGGAGCTCAAGAAAATTCTGATGCGAGTAGTGACTGAACATTGTCGTCTATTTTGATGGAGACAGTGCAGTTTGTTAGACATGTACAACGTTTCAGAAGAAATTGCTGCGTCCGTCTTCAGGTTAGAAGAGATTATACTATCCTGAAGATAGTGGCAGTAGATCTTTGAAACGTTAGTACCTGTCTATCAAAATACAGAGTATCAGATCCCAGAAGACAATAGTCTTAGACTGTCTAATGCTGTCAGTAATCGAACACACAAAAACGCCCATGAAGTTCACTAGCAGTTATGAAAAATTACTTATATCGAAAACACAAAGCAAAGGAACAAATAAATTACAAAGAAAAAACTAATAAAATAAAAACATAAGTGAATCTGTGACTTTAATGAGCCATAATATTTCTTGACATGGTCTGTGTTTCGTCCTGCCTGTTCTTCGTCACTGATTCAAACGGGGTATCACTTTTATTCAAGCTGAAGAAACAAAATGTACGATTTAAATACTGAGATGTGTATATTTGTAAGAAAATTAAAATTACTTTGTGTATGTAAGTGTAAAACTAAAGATATCTCCGTACCTTGAAACACTGTGAATTCTTAAAATGAAATGTATTTTCAGTTGAGAAAATCCTACGTCTTTAATTATTAAATATGAAGAAACGATGCAAGAATTATATTATAATGATGAAATAATTCTTAGTCATTTAACATTGTCAGTATTAATAAGCTTTTGAAGTGTATAATTCATAAGGTATTATTAATTTCTCTCATCATAATAAACAAAGAAATGTGACTTAGATAATGCCGGTTTTTTACGCTGATGCAATATCACTTCTCACAAGAAGTTAAGGAACAAAGGATATCTGACATAACTAAATTCTGTAATTCCCCACGTCCATTTGCAAGAGCAGTTTCAAAATGAGCTGTAATGTATTGGTTTTATAGGTACATGGAAATTTCCTGAATAAAATCTAATACAAATAACGCATTCTTTTCCAGTGGATATCTTCATTGTCTGAAACTAAATTTAAGGAATATTTAAGGAAGTGTAGAAGTGGAACAGTTACCTCAAATAGGAGCAACATACACATCCCAGAGGGACTGAATATAACCTTGTATGAGGCAGATACACGTGTGGAAATATTTGGTACATGCCAACATCAGTAAAATCAAAGAAAATGTTGTTATTTGCTGCAGAGGTTTAACTGAACGTCCCATAAGACTGTAACCACAGAAAGAAATAACGTACCTGTTATAAAATAGTCATTCATTAATCTGCTCTAAAGCGTTTTGTTGGTCCTTTACCGCTTTTTCAATTTCATAATCCTATACACGGCCGGTCACAGTAGCCGCGCGGTCTCAGGCATGAATTGTCTTTGCTCGCTCGAACGCTGGAATTGCGGGTTCGAATCCCACTCAAGCCATCAATATTTTGTGTGTGTATGCATTTATTCTATGTTTGTGTTGCTCTGTGTTTAGTTAGCGGCCTTGCGACGAGCTGATCACTCGTTCAAGGAGCCCTACCGTCTGTAAAAAAGATTACGGAACTGAATCAGAGACCTGGGCCCGGAATGGGCTGGAAGAGCCATTGAAAAAAAAATCCTTGGACAGGGGAGTTATATAGTATGCCTGACATGAAAAATACTATCTTCGAGATGCTATGCTATGTAGTCTGGGAGATTACTGACGTTTCGGAGTAAAGTACTCTAAGGTCAAAGAATAAGTCATGCATGAAAGGAAATTCGACTTATCTTGAACACTGAAGTTGGAGGCAGTACGTCTTTCTTAAACGTCGATAAACTTCTGCCAGATTATATGGCTTAACATGACAGAAGATAGTAATCTTTATAGTCACTGCCGTCAAGACCCTTGATCTTACATACATACATACACTGATATTCATCCTCTCTGATAATCACTCCGACACAAAAGCATAATTTTTTGCCAGCCCAAGAGAACGGGTGAATTGTTCCTATGTTACGTCACTCCATGCAAAGAAAATTTCTTCTTGGGGATACTAGAAATTGCATATTCACAGGATAAAACATAATTGCCTGTACTTCCACATTTATGGGACCCGACTACAAAATGTCACAGAAAGAGTGCATACATTTTAAACATTATTGTTGACAAAATAAACAAAGCTAGGAGAGTAAAATTTTCACCAACTGAAACAGCTACTCAGAAATTAATTTTCCCGCCTTTTTCCAATTCACTTCACTTCCACCTGAACTCCCTTCGTTGTTCGCATAATGTCCGCCCGGAATTCAAATGTCCTGAAACTGACGCATGCGCACGGTCATGTGAGCAAGATAAAACAATATCGTACGTAAAACTGCGAAGGTTCTGCTATCATGTGATGAAAATAATAACCTTCTTGCTCTGCTTATTTTCTCATTCAAATGTTTAAAATGTACGCGTCCATTCTCGGACAACCTGTACATCAGAGTAAACAAATTTATTTAAGTAAGATTTGAGGTTTTCACGGCGGTGACTATGAAGAGAGCAGTCTTCTGGGATGTGGCGCCGTGTAGGTATTGTGTTAACCGACGTTTCGGAGGAACGTAGCACCTCAATCTTCGGGGTAGAAGAAAAAAGAAGAAAATCCGCAAGCGAAGAACCAGCGTGAGTAAGAGCAAATAGACTAATAAATTTAAATTTATTTAAGATCCATATATGATAACAATAACAAAGTGCAGCTTCGGCTTCCGAGGGTTAGCAAAGTCGTGTAACAGTGGCCATCTCCAGAGCGGACAAGAATAATTACACTAATTATAAACATGCTGCACGAGCCACACAAAAAATAATGACAGAATTCAATTTATGACATCCGGATCCAGGAAAACTGAATGTCACAAAGAGACCACACATCAGCATGTGCCATTCGGCTGCGAACCGCTCAAAAGTAACTGACCTAGAAAGTTAAATGTGATGTGTGTGTTACTCATTTTCATATCCAGAGACAACAATTTGTTACTTTTATCATAGTGACATATTGAGAAGATTTTAAGGTAAAAGGGTACAGTTGTCCCTGTGCTTAATTAATTAAGCTTTATGCAATAAAGACATATGGGCGTGGACGTACAACTCCACCATTCTTGACCTCGACACTAGATGGAAATAAGTGGCCAGCTTTATGCTCAAGCTGCTTTGCCCCCGGGGAATCTCTCCCGTTACCGATTGGATAGGAGGCTGTGTGGGCCCCAGAGCCGGTTTTGAGGCTGTGGAGAAGAGAAAAACCATACCCTTGCTGGGAATCGAAACCCGGCCGTCCAGCCTGTAGCCTGTTGTTATACCGATTCTTCGGAGTTTTTAAGACATTTTTATACTTGTAGTAAACTGTAGGGTCGGTGACGGTAGCCCAGCAGTCTAAGACATGTACTGTCTTCGCTCGCTCGGAAGCCGGGATCGTGGGTTCGATCCCATGTAAGGCATGGATGTTTGTGTTCATTCTGTGTTTAAGTAGAGACCTTGCGATGAGCTGATCACCCGTCCAAGGAGTCCTACTGTCTGTGAAAAAAATTATCAAAATGAAAGAAAACAACCTCGTCACTGAAAAGGTATAAGAGGAACATATTAAGTAAGTGAACTTTAGAGGAATGGGAAGGAAACTGATAACATATTTAGGCATTTTCTAAGGATTCTCATGAATAGGTTGAGTAAAATTCAAAATCTTCTTCCGCCTCCTGAGTGTGTTTCTGTAGCTCAGCAGAGGCACCGTAACGATTAAATAAGGGCCGTGCCATAGCTCAAGCGGTTAGTTGCTGACTTCCCACGGCGGTGACCCGGGTTCGATCCCTGGTCTGGTCAAGTGGGATTTGTGGTGGATAAAGTGGCGCTGGGGCGGGTTTTCTCCGAGTACTTCGGTTTCCCCTGCCAGTCTTCATTCCACCAAATTCTCCATCATAATCACCCGGGGCAGGCTACAAGAGGCCAATCAGTGGCCGCCGTGCCGAGTGGACCCAGCTGGACTCCACCCCCACTAAGTGAATTTAAATTAATTAACGATTAAATGAAGCGTCTCCTTTTCGCAAGCCCCACGTTTTGAATTTCTGGCACTTGCACGCGAGAAGGTTCTCACTAGCCACGCACAGAGAACTTCATGTATACGACCTCCATAATGGCCAGCCTAGGATAACTGAACACTAAAGCGCGTTTTTCTTAAATATGTACAAAATTTAGGCTAGATCATTGTATGAAATACTGGATTATCTTAAACCTTACGCAAACCTGAGCTCAGTTATCCTACCTCAGACTCTGCAGGCTGGGATAAGGAGGAGATTT